ACATATAATATTATATAAATATAGGAGTCATAGTGTGGCACTGTAGGGTAAGCACTGGACTGTTAAACTGTAAGGTCAACTGCTCGAACCCAGTAGCCACTCCTCAGAAGCCCTGTTACTGGGTAACTGTGAGTCAGAACTGATTCAATGACACTTAACAACAGCAACACACACACATATATCTATCTATATACAGACATACTGGGAGCTTCAGTCAGTGGAAATAGGCCTGTCTCCCCAAGTCTCCTTTAGCCTGTGCTCTGGTTAGAAACCAGAAGGCCTTGGGAAGGAGTCTTCACTCCTTCCAGAATCTTCCTCATTTCACTTCATTCTATGTATGGCCACAGAGTCAGAGGGGAGGATGAAACACAGAAGCAGCAGCACTGCCCTCCTTTGGGGTCCATGTAGGGGCACAGCCTGGCTCCATGGCCTAAGCTGAGGCAAAACATTTTAAATGACTTGCTCAAGAAACTACAGTAGAATAGACTGCAACCAGTCAGGATGGGATGTCTTTGGAGGCCAGAGAGCCCTCACTCAGGAAGGCTAGACATCTTATCACTTGAGTTTACATGTCACAAAGGAATAAAAAATAGGTATAATTCAAATACCAAAGCAAGAGCAAGATGCCTTCCACATGTTTATTCCAACAACTCCCAACCCAGTGCCTATATCCCCATAGAGTCCTTACAGAGGGGAGTTTCCAGGGTACCTTTGCTGGTTGATCTTGTTAGGCTGGATAAGAAGCTTTAGAAGTGTCCCTTGAAGGTTACCCATCCCTCAGGATAAATTGTGGTCCCTTCCATCAAGCCCATAAACATTGAATATCACCTGGGTCTCAGGGGAGCCCGTATGAGCCATTAGTCAGTGTCGCTACAGCCACAGTGTACACTGGATTAGAAGGCTGAGGTTCTGGACTCCCTTCATCTTGTAGTTCATGCTTGTGGTAGTTTTCAGTGACTCAGGAATAATATGAAAAATATTTAGCTTCCTAATTAGCACAGGCACTGAGTATTCCCAGGTAGTATTCCCAAGTAGTCCAGTCACCTCAAGACTCCTGTCTCTAAATGCTAAATTGTTCTTTGGCAATAAAGCGGCATGCTTTATTTTTTATTTATGTGATGGTACACTGAGCAGGCTCTGGGCTTGGGAGTCCAGAAAACCTGGCTTGGAATGATGTCATAGGATGGTACTATTTCACTTTTCTGAATCTTGGCTTCTGTATCTGTAACACTGGAGGTCACAAAGGCAATTTCATTGGGTTGTGGGAAATAGGAGAAATGATGTGATTAGAGCAGCTACTCATTTCTTTTCCCTTTTCTCTCTGAGGAATAAACCCCATTCCTCCTCAACTTCTTTAATATCCTTAAATCTATGTATGTACACTATCAGTTATTCTCCTCTGGCACATTTTTGCTAAATTTTCTGCTGACTCTAGAATGTTTTCTCTCGTCCACACCCCCACTTAAAAAAATTTTTTTTTCCCCTTTCACCAAGGCTTTCCTTTTCTCCTCAAACCCCCCACATGCTTGCCATTTTCTCCACTGGCATTTGAAACAGTGGTGTGTGCTTTGGGTGAGGGACACTTTTTCCTTCTCCAGGGACATGCAGTTTGACTTAGTCCTTATCAGTATCCAGGACCTCTCACTAGGAACCCCTTCTCCATCGCTGTTTCCCCCTACCCCATCCCCATCAACACCCTTCTAGAATGCTTCATGGCATGGGCAGACACCACTACCTGCAGCCACACTCTGCCACACTCATCCCTTCATAGTGGTATTTCAGGGTGGGGACCCCCATGTCATCCTTATAGAGGATGGAGATAGGGCTCAGTTTGGTAGGTACACAGCAGGCCTTCCCAACCTTCATGGGGAACTTGAGATGAACCAAGGTCTGCACAATGGCATGCTTTGTTGGGGTCACATCATCAGCAAGGGGAAAGAAACAACCGCCTTTACACTCATATGCATCATACTCTTTGGGTGCAATGATCCAGCTGTCCCAACCAATATCCTCAAAGTTCACCCGCAGCGAGGTCTTCTGACAGTGGTTGCTGGTTCCAGTGCTCCTTTTCCGTCTGGTTAAAGAAGAGCCCGAGGCCACATGACTGTCCATTTCTTCCTCTTTGCCCTTGCTTCCTTCTACTGGGCTGTTCTTGGACAACGTCTTAAGCACAGTCTCCTGTTCATGGCTGATCATCTCCCTGAGCTCCAGCCTAGTCTCTTTAGTCCCATTGCTGCGATCATTGGAGAAGACAACGAAGAAGGGCAGGTTTTTGGAACCTGGGGGGACACTGATGTCTAGCTTGTCACATCCCTTCCTGTGACTCTCCACAATCACTTCCAGCTTATTTTTGCTCTTGGTGGAGTCTGTCCTGACCCACCGCTTTACTGCACTGGAGACCTCAAAGGTCTCCCAGCCCTCATCGTGAATATTCTGGGACACCAGGAATGTCTTGGTCCCTGCGGAACAATCCCAGTAATCTGCTCCATCAAGAACATCATAAATGGCCATGCTACCTTTGAGCTCATGAGAGGATTCCTTGTGGTTTTGACAGGAGATATAGAGCTGGAGCTCAGCCCTGGTGATCAGTTCATGCCTGGGGATGGAGACGTTGAAGAGTAAGATGTGCTTCTGAAAAGGGAAGTCTTCCGTGGCAGTTACAGAGATAACATCTGAAATGCAAACACATGGTGACATGGGCATATCCTGGGGGAGTACATTTCTGTGACAGCAAAGTGATTTTTGTGTTTTGCATGAATGAAAATCCACATTCTTTTTGGATTCTATTATGTTTCTATTTGTTTCACTTAAGTCCTTAACTTGGACAAGTATTTGAAAGACACACTAAAGGTCTTCCAAAGAAAAACACAAATGGGAGATGTCTTGAATGAGTGTCAACAACTCCTTCTGATTATTGAACATCTACTATGTGCCAGGCAATATATATGGAGCTTTACATAAAATACTTCACTTTGATCCTCATACCAGCCTTGGGAGGATCTAATCACTACTTCAGTTTTACAATCAGAGGAATTGGAATTCAGAACATTTAACTGAAAAATATCTTCATTAAACTAGTAAGTATCCTTGGTTAAACACACACACACAAGAACAACAGAAAACCACACTGTCAACCCTAGAATGAAGATCCTGAGATTATGATTTTAAAGCAGAGCTCCTGGGAGGAGGCTTTGAAATTCCGATACTAAGACAAAGTTAAATATTTCAGCATCTGCAATAGTTGAGAAATTATCCGGATTTCTCAACTATTTGATTTCTTAACTATCAATGATTTGTTCATGTTTTCAGGAAAAAATATATTGACCTCAACTACTTTGTCATTTCAGGCAAAACTTGAACTTCCCCTTTATCCCTATATTCTCTCTACCCCCCACTTCTCCTGTGGAGACACAGCATTAGCACACTCTGTGGAGAAGTCCTATATACCAGACATTTGCTATGTGCCAACATGAGTAGGAGACTGTGAGCTGTCGTGAAAACTCGACATGCTTTGGTGTCTGATGACTGAAGGGTCAATCCTGACTCTGCTTCTTACCAGACTATGACCTTGGAGAAGATTTATGACCTTTAATTTTTCTTAGTATCCGTTTATCTGTAAAGCAGGCTCATTTGACTTACCTCACAGGTTTGTGTAAGTCTCCATCGAGATGGCACATAAGACTTAACCAGCCCTATACTTGGCTTATAGCAAAACTCAATGTCTCCTCCCCTTTCTCCTTCCCAGGTTGGCATGTGGCCTGTTATTTAGAGTTGATGCACCATTTAAGCACCACATAGAGCTTTTCACTATTTGAGTAATGTAAGTGGGTCATTAATGTGGGTACATCGTTAAAATGGGTATATTAATGACCCGAAGTTCCTTTGCTTTGGCAAGTACTGGAAAGTGGTTTTCAGATGGCAGCTGGAAACAAGCTCCACTTTCCCTGATTGGCACCCTGGTGTCTTGGTGGGAAACTGAGTATATAACCAAAAGAATGCTGGCCCAGACTGTACTAGGGTCTGATCTATGCTTCCCAGATTTACACATATGCCCTTATTACCACTAGGTGGCTCCAAAAGGCTGCACTCCCAGAATTATGGGATTTAAGGATTCATGCCCAACAAAGAGCCCAGTAGAGGTCACAGATGTGCTCTCTGTGTTATCAGCACTTAATGGACCTGTAGACTTTTCTTCTTCTTCTGAACAATTAGAAAACCTGATCCCTAGGCCTATATTGTGATGACATCATCTGCTAGAGAAAGCACATGCTTTGAGGGCTGAAAATTAGTGGAGTGAAAACTCAGTAGGTGTTGAGAAGAACAAGGCTCTGGATTCCTGACAGCAAAGAGGGAGACTCGGCAGAGTATAGACAGGTGGGCCTGGGTCAGAATCCAGTCATTTAACTAGGATGTGACCTTGGGCAAGCTCCTTCAGCATCTACAAGTCTGAGAACCCTCCTTCAGGAAATCATTTCAGCTTTGTGAGGGTGATATAACAAATATGGATTCTGTGTGTTTGTCATCTTCTAGTCTCTCCCTCCCTGCTCTCCCCCTACCTCCCTACCCCCATCTAAAGTCCTGGTGTGGCACTACAGGATAAGCCCTGGACCTCAAGGTCAGTTTGAACAGCAAGATCAGCAGTTCAAACTCACCAGCCACACCTCAGCAACTCTATACAGAGTCACTATGAGTCAGAACCGACTTGATGACTCTTAACAACAACAGTCCCCCAAAATCAGGCAAATTATTTTTAAAATGCTTAAGTGCTCTAAAATTTTTCTCTGAAAGGATTTTATCTGAATTTATAAGCCTTTTAATAAGAGAGAAGTCAAGATTCTTCCAAAGTCTGAAAACACACCAGTTAATTGAGGGCTGAACAAATTTCTGTTTCTAAGTAGGAATGACACAGAAGGGAAGGATAGAGGGAGGCAGGGGTGTTTACTTAGAGTTATAGAGGGAAGAAGGAGAAAAGAGAAGGAGGGGGAAGGAGGAAGAGGAAGGAAGGGACCTAAAAAAGGGCTAGCATTCCCTGAGCACCTGCTGTGTTAACAATGGCAGGGGGCTCTAGGAAGGAGAAAGCTCACAGCAGTACCATCCCGCAGAGCTCTCTGCAGAGATGACCATGTTTCATAATCCACACTGTCCTGTACAGTAACCACAAGCCATACATGACCACTGAACACTTGAACTGTAGTACAATGAAGGAACACAAATTTTAATTTTATTTAACTTAAGTTCAAACCTAAATAGTCTTGTGTGGCTAGTGGCCACCATATTGGATAGTGCCCCTGTGGACCCCTGAGCCCCTCCCCAGGCCCCCCCAAGAAGAGCCGACACTACCTTCCACACTGAAGCTGCGCACGATGTTGGACGCTGGGGTGGACGACTTGTCAGCGGTGTATCTGTTGTAGAGGTCGATCATGTACTGTGGGGGATCCACTCTGCTTTTGTTTTGGGAAGGGATGCCACTCAGGTTGAGGCTGCGCAGGAAATCCACCTTCATGTTCTCCAGAAACATCTTCAGGTCGAAGGCGCCCTCATCCTGGTCTGCCTGGGGGTCCCCGAGCAAGCTGTGGGTATTGCCTCCAGCAGACGCGTGGCCCCAGGTCTCCAGTGGCTTTGCTTGCACAGAGCAGGCCAGGAGAGAGATCAAGGACAGGGACACCCTCAGAGCTCCAGGGCACATCTTGGGAAGGTGCTGTAGCCAGGCTAAAGACTTCAGAATGGGGGACCAGTGGTGGGTCAGCAGGTATAGGGAGGAGCCCTTGGGGAGCAGCTCTGCATCGTTCTGTTCCACTGGTACACTGCTCTGGAGGCAGCTGGCCCCGATGAGTCCCAGGCTCTTGCCGCAGTTAGCCTCAGTGTCCTCCACTTGTATTTATCTGACTCTGATGTTACAATCGACCCCTTATCTAATGTAGCTCTCAGTTAATGAAGGCTCTATAAACATCGCACAGACACAGAAGGCTGGAGGGAAGGACAGTGCATGCTGTAAGCATCCACATTCTCCATGGGGTCATCACCCCCCAATTAGGATTTATGCTCACTTCCTTGCCAGCTCAATTCACAAGAATCTTGAGATAGGAGTGATGTATGTTCTGTCTTCTTGGTCATAGAAACTTAAATAATTCGGGAAACAAGCAATACAAAAAGTACGCCAGATATAGAAACCACAACACAAAACACCCAGAGGACCCCAGGTGAGGCCTGAGAGGCATATAGGTGTTAGGAAGAGGCCTGCACCTGTGGAATCCGAGTCTGTCCTAGGAATTCAGCTGCTCTCTACCTGTTTCTCATTTGCATGACAGGTGCTTGAGCATTTGAGACCAGATGTGAGATGCACATATGGTCTAGTGTAGTGGTGCAGGCCTCAGGGTCAGCCTAGACAGGGCTCTAACCCTCACTGCCTCACGTACATATCTAAATGTGACTTTCAGCAAGCCATGTCATCTCTTTGGGCGCCATTTACTCATTTCCAAATTGGGACTCATAATACCTATTTCAAAAGAGCTTTTTAAAAAGAGACAATATGCCTAAAAATACTATGGCAGTTAGCACAGACAATGTAGCAAGCCAGAGCAGGTTGGCTGGTATGTCTGGCTGCTATGCCTCTCTCCCTGGGTCTGACTGAGCTCGGAACTGGAGGAGGGAGGCTGTTCTTCTGAGTTCTGCTCTGTAGGGGTCCTATCAACTTTGTAACCTTTCAGAGCTGATCCCAGAGTGTTCTGTGATGTCAGTGGGCTAGGCCTCCAGGCAGAAGTGTGCACTCTGGGTGTTTGGTGGAGAGGAATGGAAAGAGACGAGTTCATAATTTCTATCTCTGAGGTTGGTGTATGCCCTGGAGAAAGTCCTGTCATAGAGGCCTTAACAGGCTCTCTGGCCTGAGAAGACAGAAAAACATGACTCAGGTAAGGACCACAAGGTCCAGGAGCGGTGTTATTGTGACAGATGTAGACCCACACTCACACTGTCCAGTTTCCTCATGTGTATCTTTGCCCAAAGTGAAGGACAAGCAAAACACTGCGGGTTTATTTATAGGCATGATGCTGTTCCAGGCTTGGTGGACTTCTGAGGAGAGGGTGCAGTGAGCTGAACAGATTAAGGGAGATTCATGAGGGGCCCTGGCTGGTGGGATTGTAGTCAGAGATCTCACTGTTGTTTTTTCCTTCTCCTAGTGGGGGAAGTCATCATCCTTCCATAAGTTTAATTTACTGTGGTGACTAGTTTGCTGCTATGACACTGGTATTTCAAATGCCAGCAGGGTAACCCATGGTGGATAGATTTTACCAAAGCTTCTAGACTAAAGGAAGAAAAGCCTGGCAATGTGCTTTTGAAAATTTGTCCGTGAAAACCTTGTGGATCATCACAGAGCACTGTTTGACATAGAAACCACAACACAAAACACCCAGAGGATCCTGGCCACATCATCCAGGAGGGATCAATCACTGGAGGAGAACAGTGCCAGGGGAGGTAAAGGAGACCCTTGGTGAGGTAGATTTGTAAAACAGCCTCAGTGACAGGTTTGGACATGCTGGCAATTGAGAGACAGACACAAGACCAGTTCATGCTTTGTTGCAAATCAAGTCACTCTGAGCTGGAGTTGACTAAATGGCAGCTAACAGTAACAGTGGGGGAAGGCTCCATCCCAGAACCCCAGTGTGGCAGGTCCTGGACAGAACTTGCTGTTCCCATCCTTTAAATACACTGTCAGGGAAGGATGGGAAGAGAAGCTTCAGAAATGCTGCTTGGAGAGGAAGCAGGAAGTGTCCTGGGCAACAAGCCAGCTAAGTGTGAAACCCCCATTGGGAAGTGAAAGAATGAACAGCACCGGACCTCCCTTGAGCTGCGACTCTGCCTTAGCTGGAAGCATTCTGGGAGGAACCAGAAAACAAGGTAGCAGTCTCAGGTCCCTGGTGTCAGGGGGAGAACCTCTCACACTCCAGAGGCTGAGCAAAGGGGTAAGGTGGGTCTGTCCTAAACACGATCAGTGGGACTACCAGAAAGTGCTTTAGAAATGCGACATCATTTGTTTTCTGGTTATAGTCATTGTTGTTGTTAAATACTGTCAAGTCGGTTTTGACTTATAGTGACCCTGTATAGGGTTTCCAAGGAGTGGCTGGTGAGTTTTGACCCACTGACCTTGTGGTCCATTGCTTATCCTACAGTGTCACACCAGGACTCCAGTTATAACAATAGCGTGTGGTTAACATATTTACCTACTGAGCCCTGGTGGGTTACTCATTAGATTACTAACTGAAAGGTCAGCCGTTCAAACTCAGAACCTGCCTTCCTTGGTGGGAGAAAGATGAGGCCATCTGCTCCTGTAAAGATAGCTTGCCTTGTCCTGCAGGGTCACTACGAATGGGAATCAACTCAATGGCAGTGGGTAAACAAAAGGCTGGAGGTGTGAGTCAGAAGAAAGGCCTGGTGATCTACTTCAGAAAAATCAGCCATTGCAAACCCTATGGTGCACTGCTACACATGGGTTCACCATGAGTCAGAACTGACTCAGCAGTGGAGTTTTACATACATACAAGTAAATTCACTATCATCAAGTCATTTCCAACTCTTAATGATCCTGTATAGGATTTCTGAGGCTGTAAATCTTTATAGGAGCAAAACCCTCATCTTTTACCAATGGCTGGTGGGTCTGAACTGCCAACCCTGTGGTTAGAATTGCAGTGCGTATCCTACACATAGTATAGTGAATTTGGAAAATGAAGGATACTATCAAGAAGAGAGTTATGGTGTTAAAGAGGAATATTGAAAGTACCATGGACTGCCAGAAGAACAAACAAATCTGTGTTGGAAGAAGTACAGCCAGAGTGCTCCTTGGAAACCAGGATGGCTAGACTTCTCGTCTTTCATACTTCAGCCAAAGGAACCCTGGTAGCATGGTGGATAACAAGCTGGGTTGCAAACCACAAGGTCAGTAGTTCAAATTTACCAGTCTCTCTGTGGGAGCTTTTAAAGATAAGGTTTTCTGCTCCAAGGAAGATTTATAGCCTCAGAAACACTATACAGGGATGCTATGAGTCAGAACTAACTCCACGGCACACAACTCCCAGCAACAGGCATTTTGAACATATTATCCTGAGGGCTCAGTCCCTGGTGAACTACATCATGCTTGGTAAAGTGGAGGGTCACCTGAAAAGATGAAGATCCCCAATGAGATGGGTTGGCACAGTGGTGCCAGCAGTAGGCTCAAGCATAACAATGGATGTGAAGCTGGTGCAGGACCGAGCAGTGTTTCATCCTCTTGTGTGTATCATACCTATGAATCAGCATTGACGCAATGGCACCAATAACAGTAACGTAAAGCAGAGAACTAAAATACCCTACAATTCGATCATCCAGTGATGCCTACAGTTAAGATTTTGAGATGTATACCTCAAACACATGCCTCGACAATCTCCTATCTCAAACTCCAATGGTTAGGACTGTTTGGCATTTCAGAAAGTTTTAGATTTTGGAAATGTAATACGATGTATATACTGTAATATTACCAAGGGGTCAGGGACACCACCCTATCATTACAGTGGATATTTTTCTGGAGTGAAACAAACACACAAATAAATGTCCATTCATGCCATGAAAAGGGTTGAAAGAAACTCAAGGTTTTCAGGTCATTTTACATCTCAGGTAAGACTAGGTAAAGGACTATAGACCTATTTGTGTTAAGAGTTGGTACCTAGGCTGGATGTGGAGTCTGGGGATTCTGATACTGTGGATTTGGGTGTGAATGTTTTCCCTGGAGCTGAGGAGTGCAACACTGCTGGTGTTATCAATCCCACATGCTCAGCATACCAATACACCCACATCTCTTTCATTATTTCGAATTAAAACTGCTTGAGGCAGGAAGCTTATGGTATTTTTTATATATAATGAGGCCACACAAATAGAACACATACACATATATAATGCGCATAGCACATATAGAAAACCAGTGCATGAGAGGGTTGCATGACTGGCAAACAAACGTAAAAAAATGTGCACCTTATTTGCATAAAAATGTTGTACTGTTTCCCTCTTGGAGTAT